AGTACTTATACATAGTTCTTGTGTCATTAACACACAATAAACCCATTCATTAGGCTCCTCCAAATGCTGCCCGAAAATGCAGATTTTCTGAACCATTTTTAATGTATTGCTGTTGCCGAGCATTGATGTTGAATTAATAGAAACTGGTCATAAACTTCACCCTGTCTAAATCTGCAGCCTGTTGCCTCAAGCTAGAAGGTGTTCATTATATCAAGACTGCATCTCCATCCATTTCCAGGCTACCCATGTCAGAGGATAAGAACAAGAACTCCAAGACAAGCAGCACGGCTTGAAAGCACCTGTGTGAAAATTCATTTGGTTTATGGACCTGAAGCGACTCTTAATCAAGACTCTGCTCCATCTGTCAAGTGTGAAGAAGAGCTGCAGGCTGTCTCTGGATATTATGAGTTCTGCAGACTCCTGTTTGAGAGTACACAGTGGCCCAGTGACTAAATCTAGCTTTTTTTTCCTTTTTTGCCATTTGGCCCAGGTGACTGAATCCTGCTGCCTCTCTGCTGCTCAGAGGGATGAAGCAGAGTTGATGCCTGGCTTAAGCTCTGACAGTGAAAATGCATCAAACACAGGCCATCGGAGCAGATGTTTGCTTGTTTGTTACTGTCAGAGGACCATTTCCCCGCTGGCATCAACAGAGTGGATACAGTCTACTTTAAGCTTTTAGCGTTGACACTGTGGCACAATGCCACGCTGACTGGGGTTGGGTATTTAGTTCCTAATCTGACTTTTATTGACAGTAACACATTCCAGTGCACCCTCTCCATCTCACACATGGAAAACACGACAGCAAAAGAAAAATTTGTGGTTTCAAAGCCCTGAAACCACAAATATTTCCATGACTTTGAAACCTCGAACCTTCAAACCTAAGAATTGAATGCGTGGGTGCTTTACAGCAGTTTGCAATCACTTTGTAAAAGTACTCCAATCACTGCACTAACACAAGTGAAATATTACAATTCATACTGGAATTTCAGGTATGTATAGCTACTTGTTGTTGGCCAGTTTACTTTATTTATTTTTTTAATGGTAATTGTAAACAAAAAAAAGAAAAGGTGCCGCTCAGGTGCGTCCTCGGACTATGCCCCGCCACATAAATGTTAACCTGACCAACTCAATTTTGGTCCTGGATCCAACCAAATAAATAAAAGAAAATATTAAGCTCAACGAAAAACTGTTCAAATCTGAGTTTCCTGGATGATAGTTGTCTTACAGTGCAGATTTTCCATTATCACATATTTTCCATCCATCTTCTTCTGACTATCTGGATCCGGGGTCACAGGGCAGCACTTTTAGCAGATATGCCCAAAAGTCCCTCTCCTCTCTCCAGACACCTCTTCAAGCTCGACCCTGAGGCATTTCCAAGCCAAATATTTTGCTGGCAAGAAAATAAATGTTCTTGAAATGTATTTTAAGATCACATTTTAGCTGTATAGGAGCACACGTTTTAGGAAACGGGGTCTAATCTGAGCAGTAAACGGGTAAATATCGGCACTGTTGCATTACTGTGCACTGAGAACGATTACATTAAGTAGTTTAGACTGCTAATAAATAGAATGTAAAACCACAATAATGCAATAATGCAGTGAAATCGGATCCTCCTGCGGGTGCCAGCTTATCGTGGCGCATCAGTGAAATCACATTAAAGATAAAAGATGATGCTCTCGTGCTTTGCATTCATTTAAGGAGCATCTTAAAGCACCATATAAGTCTCCCAGAGGTTGGAAGCTAACAGCTTGGACTCTGGTAGTGGGAAGAGGGTTCAGGTGTATCTGAAGCCTAGCTGGAGACCTGCACGTATAATTGAACACACGCAAACACTGACAGAGTTAATGAGATTGAGCGCAGCATGACACCAACAGCATTCCAATAAAAGCCACCCAGGATCCCCTGCAACAGATTCAGCCTGCAGACTCTCTCTTCAGTGAGGAGGAACAGAATAGAGGAAGTCTCAGCAGTTGGAGCATTTAAATGACCTCCGTGTGCGTCATCATAAAAAAATTACCATTACTTCTAAACAAACCGCCAGCGTGACAACCAGACGATTACACGTAATGCGATTATCTCCGTCGGCACAGCGGTCAAAAAAAATAGAGTTTTGATCAAAATAAGTTGGGATCTGCGTTTCAAATTAAAGACTCCTTTCTCTCCCAGCAGCTACCGGGATGTAAACAAAGAAAACAGCAGACTGTCACGTGTGAACTAACGGTAGAATTGCTCCAAAAGCTTGTACAAGAAGCCGTCCAACGGAATCAAAAACCCACGTCGTCAGAAACGAAACTACTTCGTCACAAAGTTCACATTCAGCTTTTCTTTTTTTCTTTTTTTAAATCAACACTTGAAGAGAAAAGATTTCAGACACAAAACCACAACTTACCCCATGCTCCGAGGATTTAGATGTTATTTTGGAGGTTAAATCCACTCCTAATTTCCCTCTCGCCAAAAAGATTTTTCCTTTCCTAAAACCCTGGACGTAAGTTACATTTCTGAAAGAAAAAAAAAGACAAATCACTTCCGACTCCAGATTCCTCCAGTTTCCCCTCCAACAGTACTCCTCTCCGCTCAAGTCAGTTGCACTCCAGCCCGCCTGCCCTTCTTTGTCCGCGGGGTTTCCACAGCCAAGAATACCGCGAAACTGTCGTATCCGTGCGTAATTACGCACCGCGAACGTTTGGCTCTGCTTTGCGGCTCGGACAGACGGACGAATGTCGATGAAAAGTCGGGCAGCACAGTGCTCTTGGCTCAAACCTCCTCCAGGACTTGTGTGCTGCGCTCCCCTCCTACCACTGTGCCAGATCACACTGGGATTCCATTCAACTATTTCTGTGGGACCGCGGGGTCTCCACAGTGCCATCTAACGGGCTCCGTGGAAATGACTCCTCATTATTCCGACTGTTCATTTATATGTCAAAATGACATAGTTATAGCCTTAAATCCCCCGCCCCGATAGCTATTTACGACAAAAGCTTAAGCAAACAATCAGTCATGATGCGCACTGCTGCACTTGATGTGTTAATCTCATGTCAAACCAGATTATGGTGAGTATGGAGATGTTTATAAAGAGCTATATGGTAATCCCAATTATTTCAAATCAGTATAGAAATGTACAAATATATGCCAGATTAGATTAGAGCTTTTTTGTTTTGTTTTTTAAACTCAGATGCAGGCATTAAGCCTCTGAAAACTGAGAGCAATTGCTGTAGTTTTTATAGCCATATTGGATCTCCTGAGACTAAGTCTATTCACACCCTCCTTTGTTGTATTTTTCCATTTCATAATTTGCCAAATGCTTTCAGTGCATCGCCGATCTGGGATATAGACAGGTCGGTTAAGTGCTACACAGTCGGTTTCTTTTTGGAAAAGCAAAACTTGTTTGCACCATTTTGCTTTCTTGTTAAAGTTCTATGTTTCCCCCTAAAAGTGCTGGAAATATTTCTGTGTGCTTAGAAAGAGTCTCCACTGATTTATCTGCATGAATATAGGCTGAACATGGGAGACTGGAGCCTCAAGTGTGGTGGAAGAGCAATGGGAGCGCTAATCATGTTGCTCAGTGGGCTGTTACAGCGATGCAGCTGACTGCGCCTCTGTGCTGCAGGGAGGCAGCAGGGAACATCGGATCCTCGCCTTTGCATTCAAGCAATTTTCCTTTTAATTTAGAGAGACACTTTTCACTCGGTCCAAGGCAGTTTGCAGCACAGCTGGACGGTCTGGACAGGATGGAGCTAAACCTTCAGGCCTTTGCCTTTAACACACAGGGCATTAATCACCTCTGGCAGCCCGGTGTACAGACACAGATGGGTTTTTCTTGGTGAAGCTTCTTCTGCCTCTCTAGTCAAGCAGTAACTGAATTAACTCACACTGTCCTTCGCAAGCCCACAGTGGCAGGTGAAGAAAATACTCGCATGATCATCTGCAAGACATTAACAAATAAATCTATGCAGAGAATCAAATCTTGGATTTTGAAAGAAGATTCTGGAGTTTTCCATGTGAGACTGCTGCAGTTCTGCGCAGCGCAGAAGCACAGAGAGCCAGGAAAAAGTCAAGGTTTAAGTTCAAGGTTTATGCCCAAGCAGATCAGGATACGTGGCTGACTGCAAAGCCTCTAAAACCCACACGGACCACCTTCTGATAATAAAAAAACATTTTCTGACTGATGTGAAATTTAACAAGTTCTGACCAGAGAAAGTGTATTTTTATGATGCCTGTGAAAGATTCCCTTCATCTTGCTGGCCATTAATCACACGTGACAATGCACCACGAAGCGATCAGTCTGACACAATCTGCCACATAGAGAAAATAACAGGTTTTTATCGATCTGAAACTTTGTCTCACTTCATCATTGTGACGTGAATGGCGAGAACTTTACGACAGGTGATCTCTCAGAACCCTGAAGGCTTGTGTTTCACAATAAAAACCAAATCTTAGAAATCCGGGTAAATATATATATTACTGTAAAGATTGGGGATTTACAGATAGGCACATTTTATTCAATATTTCCTTTAAATGTGCGCTGCAAAGACAAAGTAGAGACAGCCCAGCTCTACAATGAAAATGCTGAGGCTCTGGCAGGTTCAGAGGTCAAAAATCTGTAGTGCTGGACACAAAGAACTCGAAACCTGGCAAAGCGTCAAGCTCCTTTACGTGTGCATATTTCTTTGTGAATATGCAACGTTTAATTAAATTGAGTCTTACAAAGGGGGCCCAAGGTCTCATATATAGTTTCATTACATCATTATTTAGGCACATAAGAACGCTCTGCATGTTCCTGCTTTAATTTTAATGCGTTAAAAACGCTGAATGATGCGCATGTCACAGAGAAACAGCTCATATATGAAGGGTCAGCTTTAGCATCGTTCCAGAATAGATGAGATTGGATTTCTGTGGGGACAGAAATAAATTAACCGATCTATCAACTTTTTTTTTTTTTGCTCCACTCTCTGCTTTCAGTGTCGTTCGCTACACCGACCAGGAGATGGCAGCAACGCGCACTTTCCTCCAGTGAAGAAGACGCATTCTTGTTACGTAATCAGAAAGCGCCCGCGGACCTGATACACGAGGATGTGTTAGTGTTTGCTGAAATAAGAGTATTTTAGCGATTCTTTTATCAAAACGCGTCCACAGCTGATCTCACCGAGCTTCAGAGGACGAGGTAAATCAGAAATGGGCGACTTTTCCTCCCTCGGTCTGTCAGACTGGCTGGTTAAACAGTGTAAACAGCTGGGAATCAACAAACCCACTCCAGTCCAGGAAAACTGCATGCCAGCTATCCTCGAAGGTAAGACAGGGCGGGGATACTGTCACATATATGCTTGTAATACCTGCCGGAGGATCTCTGAGTAACTGTTAAGCTGGTGTTGAGGATGTCTGGAAGACTTTCTATGTTATTTACACAGCGGAGGTGGACTTCCTCGGCAGCTCTACATTTGCTCCATCATTGTTGAGGTGTTTCTTTCCACAGGTCGGGATTGTATGGGCTGTGCCAAGACCGGCAGTGGGAAAACAGCAGCGTTCGTGTTGCCAGTGCTGCAGAAACTCTCAGAGGACCCGTACGGCATCTTCTGCCTGGTGCTCACTCCTACCAGGTCAGTGCAGGGGACAGATGTGGGCATCCAGAGTCTCAGTAATGCCTCATCAGACAAGCTGTAATAATGTTTTTTACCAAGATAAAAGCCAAGGATATTTCCTCCATGTTTGTATTTTATTTTAGTTCGTTTTCAAGTTCACAAAGTCATTTTAATTAGTTTACATTTTTCCAAAAGTCTAGCTAAATTTAGGTAACTAACTTCTTTCATATCTAGTTTTATTATACATTATAATAACCTCGATGTACATTCAAGATTCATGGTGATAATTTAGAATCACTGGGTTGGTGCATAAATACTATTTTGTGCTGTGTTATCTTCATTTTCACAGATTTAACTAAAGAAATGGGAAAAATGTGTTTTTAATTACAGGCAGCTGGTAACAAAGTGCTTAAAGATTCGGTTTAAAATTGCTTCGTTGATCAGCCTGTTGTGTGTAGTGTTGGGCTCGTAGTTTTAAAAAAGCAGTACACGTTGCTCTTTGCTTCTCTTAAAAGTAATGCAGTACTTTGCTTAGTTGCACGTCAGAGAAAGTAATTTGATAAACTGCTTTTTTTCTCACAGGCAAGTTACTCTGTAGTAATTATAACTGCAATATGATTACTGAATTTATTAGAGTTACTAAGTTACTGAAAAATCTAATGTTATTACATTAACACGTTACTTTGGAGCGTGTTATTCTAATACTGGTTCATCCTTTGAGCTAAGTGTCTCCTTTATCCTTGAATGAGTCATAGGTCAGTGTTGGCTTAACAAACCAAAAACATTCATCTGAAAATGGTCAGGTACAAGGACTAGACTGAAAATGAGTGAAAAGCAGGCCAATGAGTAACTCTGAAAGACCTTCAGAAAGCCCAAAGAACTATTGTTTAAGACCACAAAAAAAAAAAAAATGAGAAAGTCTGATCCTTGGAAACAAAATATAAAGAAATGAGGGGTCGTTCAAGATTTTTACACAGTACCATAAATACTCATTATGATGTAAATATGTCACTCAGGGAGCTGGCCTATCAGATTGCAGAGCAGTTTCGAGTCCTGGGGAAACCTTTGGGTCTGAAAGAATGCATCATCGTCGGTGGAATGGGTAACTACTTTCTTATCTCTGGGTTGAGGTTTTTGTTTTTTTGTTTTTTGCAACAACAAAAAAAAGAAAAGAATAAACATCAGAGATTCTTTTCCCCCTGAAATCTCTCATCAGTATTTTTGAAGCAAATAATTGAGCAGCTGACCTTTAATCAGAGTGTAAAAATGTGCCAGATTTACCTGTTTCTGTTGTGCTTTGAGTGAATTTATTCCACCTGTGCAGAATTCACAGTTCACCGTTAAAGGTGGGAGTCCTGCTCAAAATGTGATGATGCTCAGCTGCAGGAACCAAACAGTGTTGCCATTTTCCATGAACTTGGTTTGCTTTTGTCTGATACTCGTGCTCTGTGCTGACTCTGCTGTGTTGTGGGCAGACATGGTGACCCAGGCCCTGGAGCTGTCCAACCAACCACATGTAGTCGTAGCAACGCCAGGCCGACTAGCCGATCACATCCGCAGCTCCAACACCTTCAGCATGAAGAAGATCCAGTTCTTGGTGAGTTCACCGAAACTCCAGATCCAATGATGAGACTATTGTTATTACATAAACTTCTGTTTATATGAAGTACTTATGTCACATACAAGTTGTAATCTTTCACCAGTGTGCACACTGTTTAGTATTTTTCCACCTTGTGGAGCCACAGTTAGATGTTCAGTAACTGTGATGTAATTGTATATAATATCTCCTGGTTTTAGTGACTGTTTGTGTGTCTCCTTTTTGTCTGTGGCAGATTTTGGATGAAGCAGACCGGCTGCTGGAGCAGGGCTGTACCGACTTCACCAAAGACCTGGAGGTGATCCTGGAGATCCTGCCGGCCAAGCGTCAGACGCTGCTGTTCAGCGCCACACTGACCGACACCCTGCAGGAGCTGAAGAGCATCGCCATGAACGAACCGTTCTTCTGGGAGAGCAAATCGGAGTGAGTGACCTGCATCTGTCTCGCGATTTGCAGGTTATTCATGATCCAGTGAGAAATCGAATAAAACTGTTAGCAGGGTTCAGATTGGGAAACGGCGTGTGCAGATTTTCACCGGATACGTTCACAGAAAACTAAAAGAAACGATGTAAAATGTGAAAGTGTGTACAGAATAAAACAGCAGCTCAGCAGCTGAGCTTTATGTTCTCTGTTCAGCTTTACATGTTTTCTCCTCCTGGTGAGGTTAAATCTGTTTTCTGATCTCGGTGGGCAGAAAAAGGTAATAGAATCTAACTGAGCATGAGCGCTGTGTCACAGAGGCTCCACAGTGTTCAGGTGTTTCATCACCTGATGTTTCTGAAGCCCCGTCACCTTCAGCGATGCTGTCTGTTATATTTTTGAAATATCAAATCTAATCAGTGGTCAGTGATTTATCTTTTGTTATTGATGTTGTCAGAACACGAACGGTAGAGGAGCTGGACCAGAGATACATCCTCACTCCAGAGAAGGTGAAGGACGCCTACCTGGTTCATCTGATCCAGACATTCACCGATGAGCATGATGATTGGTCCATCATCATTTTTACCAACACGTGCAAGTAAGAAGCCACGAGGGGTTCAGCATCCTGTGTGCACATTTACAGATTAAAGCAAGGCAGTGCTGTTTTATGAAGCACAGTCTGGACTGTGATCATTAATTTTCCACATGTTATAACATATATTTGATTTAGAAGAGGAAAAAAACGATCATATGAATGATGTAAAACTTCTGCGTGCAGGTCTTTGAGTGTTCTCGCCTTTTTGTAGCCGTGGTTATGCTCACGTCGCACTGAATACATTTTCTTGACCAATTCAGGAGCTGTCAGATCCTCACCATGATGCTGCGGGAGTTTAACTTTCCAACCATCTCTCTGCACTCCATGATGAAACAGGTGAGGCTTGTGTGAACAGCAGCAAGGGCACAAACTGACATCAGCAGGGGGCCTGCTGAGACATTTTAAGGGCAGCTTCTTTGCAATGACAGCTGAGTGAGGTGCAGTCAATTAACTTTGCACCTACAAAGCATTTGACTTTGCTTTCTGTGTTGGAGATTTCACAATTCCTCAGAGGTCCTCTACAAATATCTGGGAATTATATTTGTGTCATTAAAGGGACAAAGAGTCTGTTGAAAAGCTTTTTATAGCAGATAAATGAACCCGCAGAATAACAGACTGTGCTTTTTGTTCTTCAGAAACAACGATTTGCAAACCTCGCCAAGTTCAAAGCCAGCGTCTACAAAATCCTGATAGCGACTGATGTAGCTGCCAGGTGAGAATGCACGCAGAGCATTGGAAAGAAATGAAAAGGCCACATTTTTATGACTAATCAACAAATCTGACACAGACATTATGTAGTGTGAGCCTGTTTAAGGCTTCTGTCACTCCTCAATGGAGACACCACAAAGCATTTCAATGCAGAAACATGCGTTTTCCTGTTACTTCCCACCCACAGAGGTTTGGATATCCCAACTGTCCAGGTCGTCATTAATCACAACACCCCCGGCCTTCCCAAGATCTACATCCACAGAGTCGGGCGAACAGCCAGAGCAGGTTTTGTTTCTGGTTCTTTTTTTCTTCTGAAATCGTCTTCCTCGCGACATAAACACCACTCATACACTGTGATGTTTTCCTCCTGCAGGGAGGAACGGAGTGTCCATCACGCTGGTCACGCAGTACGACATCCACCTGATTCACTCCATCGAAGAACAGATTCGTAAGTCGCATCTAGGGCTCAGTTTAAAGACCTGTGAATAAAGCTGGTAGGAAAGCTGCACCTCAGGATAGATTGTAGTCCATCGGTAACATTAATAAGTAAAACATGTAAAACTTTTGACTTTTAGAGATTGTATTTTATCTTAAACTTGGATGTTTGCACAATTTCTGATCGCAAAAGAGATTAGATAATGATTTTTGCTTTTTGAGATCTGCAGCTCATCACCATCTTGTAAATATCACAAAGTGTGTGTGTGTGTGTGTTTAAACACTGGCCCCTCGTCTTCTTACAGAAACCAAGCTGAAGGAATATCCTGTGGAGGAGAAGGAAGTCCTGAAGATCCTCACCCAGGTCAACGTGACCCGGCGGGAGTGTGAGATAGTACGGATGTTTTATCACTTATGCTCACCTCTTGCTTTTCACTGTGCTGAATCCAGTTAAAGTGGAACATCGCTGTTATTTCACACGATGACTGACAGTCTGAAAATTGTCCCGTTAGTCAGGGATGCCTGTTTTGAACCTGCCTCACCAGTTAAGTGTTTTCACTGTAAACTCCATGTTGCAGAAACTCGAGTCAACAGACTTTGATGAGAAAAAAGAGATCAACAAGAGGAAACAGCTGATCCTGGAGGGGAAGGTGAGTGCAGCCTCTTAGTGAACTATTTAAACATTATTCTGTTTTTGATTAGAAGCATCATTATTATATTTTTAAGTCGAGTTGAACGTTATTTTCCAGATCTCGGGGTGACTGCTACTTAGGCAGAAGGGACAAAATAATTTTAATAGTTTGATATAAATATAAATAGTAAAACTAGACTAGAGTCTATGAAAGGTCTGTAAAAAAATAAACAGCTTCTTATAAACTGAAATTTTTACGAGTCATGCTTGATGCCTTTTACTTCACATTTAAGGTTGATTGAAGCTCATAAACATTCAGAACAGCAGCGTTACTCATCGACTCGCCAAAACTATGAATACGAGACAAATTAAATGTTATCCAGTATTTGACTGTCTCCTGATGACATCACCTACTCCCGAAGGGTGAACGGCAAAGCAAGATTAATGACTCGGTGAGCTCTTTTTACCGGGCTAAATCGCCATGGTAACTTATGCTGAATACATCACCTGTGCACGATGTTTTAGCCAAGTTTTAGTTTAAAATGAGCTGGATTTTTTTTTAAATTATTATTTTTCATTTATTTACAGGATACTGTGTGATATAGATTATGAAGGAATAATATATGCAACTAAAATTAGAGCTAGCTATAAAGTTCCACCAGTGCAAACTGTGTGTAAGTCTTTTATAGTGCTGTAATTGCAGCTGCTGGAGCAACATTGACGATGGCATTTGTCACAGCACACAATATTTTGCTGCGAGGCTGTCGGAAAGTAACCTGTGACTAAATACATCCAGTTTAAAGTTTGGGAGCTCTGATGTTCACCTGACATAAAGAAGTGAAGCGCAGGATTCAAGTAAATTAAATCAAGTCGAAATGTTTTTATTTGACGAGTCTGCCTTGCAGCAGTGTTGCATTTAACTGTTACATCTTTTTTGTTCTTTCATCACCGTTGTGATGACAACGTAATGTAACAGTAATGAGAGCCCACACAGAGCATGAAGCAGAGAACATTTAATAACCACTCTGTCATCTCTGATTGGGGTTCTGTATCTTGTCAAGCCAGCGACTACAACACAGCTGTGGTCGCTGAGGGTCAAAGGTTACGCTGCTCACACTCACAGGCAGTAGCTTTTTGTGGCCATGTCTACTTTTAGTATGGATTCTCTACAAGAGAAAATCCATCATAAGTGTCCAGCGCCCTTCTGCAGCGGAGAACTGATGGAATAACCAGTACGTGTTATTATGACCGTGTGCATAACTAGCCTGTGTGAAACAAGCCTTTAGTAGCAGTGTGATGTTTTGGCTGCACAGGTGTAATGAATATGGACACACATGATAGCAGCAGGCACCTCTCTGTTCACCGTGTTTTAAATAGAGTGCCTAAAATACCTGGTACCTGCCCTACGGTGAGTTTGGCATTCTGGTATTCAAGAAGTCATTTCCTGCCATTTCAGGATCCAGAGCTGGAGGCCAAAAGGAAAGCTGAGCTGGAGAAGATCAGGAGCCAGAAGAAGAAGTTCAAACAGAAAATCCAGGAGAGCATTCAGAAACAGAAACTGATGAAGAGAAGACAGACGAAAAAGAAAGCGGCGGCGCAGGCAACTGCATGAAAACCGCCTCATGTATATACTGCACACTGTATAATAACCTGTAATATTTGTACCTGCAAATAAAATTCAAGCCACAGAAACAACTGAAGTTGACAGCGTTTATTGATTCAGTTTAACAAGAGAATCAGCATCTTGTGATGAAACGTCACTGCAAATAAGACTGTTTCAAATATGTATTTACATCACATTGAGACTTTATTTCATGAATTAAATCTCGGCCTAATGACGTGGTGAATGAACGCTCTGTGTGGAACAGAATCACATCTTCAATGATTGCTGCACATGTTGGAATTGACTGGAGCTCAAGATGGGAGGAAAAAAATATTACGGCAACATTTTTTAAATTTTTTTAAAGCTCTAACACATTAGGATTCACCGGAACAAGTTGATATGCTAAAATGTCAACTATTTCTAACTCAAACATAACAATGTAAAGCGCAACATGATTGTCACGTGTGTGCAGAAATAAGAAGCAGGTGAGAAACAACGGTGCAGTACATTCTTGCTGTGTTCAGAAAGTGTCATTCCTGGAAGAAGTTACAAAACTACAATCCTTCGGACAGTTTGAAGAGAAGATACAAAAAAAGAAAAGAAAGGAAACGGCGTCCCGCTCATTCCTGTACTCAGCAAGTTGCTACGAAAAAAATAGATATATCCCATATTTCAGTAAAACTACACAACGAAACGATGCACACGGCAGCAAAATGTCTGACGAAAGCAAAGTGGATCAACTCAGGAGGAACTGCTCAGCACAAATCAAACAGCCACAGAAGGGGAAAATAAAATCTAACAACCTCCATTTTTTACCTCACAGAGAAGGAAGGTGGCTTTTGTATCCCCTGCCCCTCAATCAGCCCAGCTGCTAGACTCACTCGCATTTTATTCAAACAATAAAAATATATAAATAAAACAAGTCCTTTTCTGTGGGTTTCTTAAGCCCTCTGGTGTCAGAAAGGTTGTTGGAAATGCTGGTCGTTTGACTGGAACTACATTCATGCTTGTGCTGCGGCTGTTTATCTGAGGGTGAGCGGTTATAGGCACTGATTCTGGTCTCATTCGCTGTTTATTTCATCTCTCTGCCACCGCCCGATCAGTACTGGGTGGCATTTTCTGCTGTGAGTGACTGGGGGTTAATAACAGAACAATTTGAATCCACAGGAACCAAAAGTCTTTCGGGTCAAGTTCATTTCTGAATTTCAAACACTTCTTTTCAACCTGATTAGCTTTCGTTGTATTTGGGTGGTCAACGTGACCTTTAATATGGCTTCATAAGGTGGAAAACACAGTGGCATCTGGTATGAAAAAGTCCACTCTTTCCCCTAAAACTTTGACTTTAACATGTTTCCTTCTCTGCCTCAGCCACCTTCCTTTTCTTCTACTTTCTTGCGGTTGATTGATCGCCACGACTGCCTGTTAGCCTCATCTAAATGTCCCCGTTTAGTTTCTCTTACCTTAAGCAGGGATTCACGTGATGAGTGTGGACAGTCCACAATCCCCTGAGGAAATCACTCAGAGCAAAAGCATTCAAGCATTTGCCATTGTAAGCGTACACAGGGTGTTTTAAAAAGACAGCGGGACGTCAAAGACGCCGTCGTCTGAAAGATTAAAATAAGAGGGGGAAAAAAAAAAAGCCTTTGCTGAAACATCAAATGACGCCGAGCTGAATATTCAATGCTGGTCACGTTTGATAGTTTCAATGACTTTTTTGCAATTTTGTGCTCTGTGGTAAGAAAGGTAAACTGTCCCATGATGATCGCGACATCGTCGGGATTCGCGTCTCATGTCTTGAAAACGAAGGAAAAAAAAAAAGTCTGAAATCCCCATGCCCCTCCACCACTGACGGGTGGTCGAAACCACCCCACTGCAGACCTTGTGAACGAGCCAGTGGTTCTCAAGGCAAATGAAAGGCCTTTCAATATCAGACTCAGACACAGAAACAGAGTTTGTCGTTCCTCTCTGAGAGGGTCCGTCGACTGCCGCTTTCTTTAGAGGCTGCTGAGGTTTGGAGGGTCCAGTAGAAGACAGTAGGTAGCACGCTTCTCCCATGTCAAACCTAATTTTAAAAACAGTCCAGGGCACTGCACAGGTTGATAGTCAACCAGCTTTTAAGCATGGGGAAGCAGAACGGCAACCAGGTCGTGAAACCAGGTTTCTTCAAATTCTGCTGAAAATCTACGATCTTCACCTGAAGACGAGCGTATAAACTTTTCTCAGACGCTGTGGATGGGAAGGTGTTGGGAAGATTATTTTATTTGGAGCTCAACCTCATTTGGATTCCCATGAGAGACCGTTTGGACCTCTCGTGTTTCCCTCAGCAGCCCGACCACAAGCCGCCATCTTTTCGACCTCCCTCCTTCACGGGCATTGGTTCCTGCCTCTCACTTGTTCACTCGGCCTCTTATGCCATCTCCCTGCTTGTCTGTTCGTGCTCTCTTCTTCTACCCTCTTTGTTTCTCTCGCTGGTCATTGGTTTGGTTTCGCTATCCCGTCGCTTTCACTTGGTGGTGCTTCGGTTGTAGCAGAGGAAAACAGGTATCCATTTTATGTTTTTATTATTTCCCAGATTAAAAAGCTGATGAACTAAGCTCAGCTCAAGCCTAGCTCCCTTCTTTGGGTAACCTGCAAGACAACACGGATGAGAAAAGTTGAGCTGGTTAGAGCTTTTGCATAACATGTTTTATATGCCTGATGTGATTTTAGCTCATCCACAAGTCAATTATTATATAACATTTCCAGTGGATGATTCCTGAGGTTTCAGGCACTTTCACAAAGTTTTATGTGAAACTGGACTTAAAATATATTGTAAGTTAGCCAAGATCAGTGAGACACCTGAAGCTTGTGGCAATCAGTCATGTGATCACCTTTCCTCTTAATACTTTGACACTACACTGCAGCTAAAGACATAGTTCATGTACTTACACTTCAGTACTGCGACAGTCCAGTCACGCCGCCATGCTGGTACGCACGTTCACCCTGGTAGGTCGAGTCCTGGGACAAAGCCACGTCGATTTGGGACTTGAACTCGTCACCCAGGTAGCTGTCCTGGAGGACATAACGGTACACAAATCAGTTGTTTTTCCATCCAAGATTGTTCAAGTTTGTCCACCGACGCCTTCAGAGTTTAACCGATCAGTGTTGAGAGTCATCCAGACGTTTTCAAGGGACACTCAGACGTACCTGCCCCTGAGCAAGCACTTTTATCTCCCCTGAAAACAGCCCTGAATGAACTGCTGCAGAACTTTTGCAAAGTGAGAACACACAATGGCCAATCAAAAAGTGCCTGGTAGTTCCTGAGGTGGAAAACACTGCAAAGTGTTTAGACAGGAAACTTTTTCTTTAACCTTTTCTAATTCAATCTTAGTAATGCTTTTATTTATTTATTTAAATTGAATGAATCTGGATTAGAATACAGTTTCTCTGGTCTAGATAGGAGACTGGTATTTATAATGATTTTAAAAGATATGTAGCAACTCATCATTCCAGGTTAATTTCAAAACAAAAATTTCTCAGAGGATTAATGCATGATCACAACCCAAGAGATTATTAATGAAACAGCAACACTGATGATATTTATGGCAGCAGTTAAACTTGGTTGTCATTAAATTAGCGTTAATCTCTGCTGCATATCCTTTCTTTAAGCAACAGTGACACGTTACCTGGGAGAGCTCTGGCTGGGAGAGGCCAGGCTGGCTCATCTGTGAGGGCTGGCTCATGGAGATGTAGCCTTGTGTCAGTGGCCCCTGGGAGAAGGATTGGGAGGCTCCATCCTGGCTGGCCTGACTGTTGGGTCCATTACCCTGACAGGTACCCTGGTGTGCTGAACCACGGACCCTCTGCCGCCCACCACGCCCAGGCTTACCTTTCATTGCTCCACGCCCTTTAAGGAGGGGGAGGAACGAAAAAAATAAAAAATAAAATCACAACCTGTCAAGTCATTATGCTGGGTAGGTATAAGGCATGAGAAGTGACAGTTATCAAATATCATTGAAGGACTTTGCATTATGCCCTCAGTGAGCAGCAATTTTTTGGAATCACTGAACATAAAAAAAAAAAAAAACAAACAAAAAAAAACAACACATCCAGAATAACCCGTCTGCGTGCCGTAAGGTAGTCTGAGGTGGGACTAGTCCGAGCAATGCTGGAGGAGGTCTATCAACTCCCCCCCCCCCCCCCCTTTTTTTTTTTTTTCTCCTTCTTAGGTTTAGATTTGCAGTTTCAATGAAGAACAAACTTTCCTCACTTCTCCTTTTGCTGTTATCGTACCTGCAGCAGGGCCATTGGGCTGACCTAGATAGCTAGGTGGAGCCATTGGTGGCATCACCAAGTTGAAGGGTATAGGAATATTCATAGCAGCCATGGGACCTGGGCCTGCACCAATCATCCCAATCTGGTCATGTGTTTGGAAGTACATATTAGATGGACGTCCACCTGAAAGAGATCATCAGTATCGATAAGACATGACATGCAAAGTTTTGCTGATTTAAAAAAAAAAAAAAAAAAGCTGACATATTACCATTGCTCCGGTCGTATGCAGAACCAGGGATGAGAGCCTCACGGGCATCGTACATTGCAGTGCTCATAAAACGTCCTCCCTGGAAAACACCGGTGATGTTTAGAACAAATTTGACTGATTTGCACTAACCAGCTTCAATGAGTCACGAGCATCTTGTTCACAAAAACACATCTTGTTGGATACTAATTTACGTCACAGGACGCTTGGCCGCGTTGCTGTGACGACGACCATGCACATTAGGTTGTAATGGAATGCCAGTCGAACAGAGTCAAGTCAATCCAAGCAGGTAGTAATGGAAAGGTATCACGATCCTAAACTACTTTTTAACTCAACTTCCACTGTTACTCAGGTGCCAATTCCCAGTATTAGTTTGGATTCATACATCATTTAAAAAATAAAAAAAAAATTAAAAAAATGTATGACGCGTCCTACTCACAGGGTTGATGGTGTTGACCAGTTTGCGGGGCTTGCTGAACTGCATGAGGCTCTCCCTCAGGTTGTTTAGGGGCCCCTCCACGAGGACCTTTTGCTCCTTGTAGTTGTTCAGCAGGTTGTTCCACAGTGGCTGCTTGGAGAGCGC